TAAATATAACAACAGTTATAATAAATATAACAACAGTTATAATAAATGCCAGGGTGTTTTTGTGCTGCTCACCCTTTTTCAGCCTGTAGGAGCAGAACTATTAAAGTCCAGGCTCCAGAGAGACGTTGCTGTGTTCACCAGTTTGGACTAACTGTCATGCAGATGCTGCATGCGTGATGAGGGTTGCCAGATAAATGTAAAATATCTTATTTACCTCCTCCTTTTCTGTGCACATGTTCAACAAACACACCTCATCGTAGAATATTTTTACTCAGCACATCTGACAGTTTAGCTCAAAATACTATCATTTTAAAACCACAGTACTATAGGTCATCATTTCTTACCTGGCAACCCGACTGATATTGAAACTACAGCGTTTTCATGTAAACCCACTCATTTTTTGCTTATCACCCCCAGTAAACATTGAAAAAAAACACAAAAGTTTCCAGAGGTTCTGTGAAACGGGGTCTCATAGCAGGTAAATCTTTGACTTGGTCATTTTAAAAGAGCTCCATAATGAAAAGGTCTCGGCGCCCGTGTATTTGAACACATTCAAAATGTATTTTATCTAAACATGAAACTAAAGTTTGGGTGATAACACTTTATTTTTATCTTTAAACTCGTTGTGAACTTTGCATCTTAAATTCTGAGTCGTATTCAAGATGAAAACATCCCATAAGTCTGCTGCCTTTAAACGTTGCAGCTTCCTGTCAGGATTTATACTTGGCGTCTTCCTCCAGGGCGTGTGTTTGGGTTTGTTCTGTTTGCAGATGGATGAGCCTCCGAGCCGTTTGTCTTCATTCAGCTTTTTGTGTTGTTGTCGAGCACAAACTCAGGATTCTGGTCCCGGAGGACCTTCCTGGTTCAGATTCCGACCACCAGATTTGTTGTGTTGCAGAAGAAGTTCAGTTTTTTTTTGTCTGACCTGTAGGCAAATGATGGTAATATTTGCTCTCGGGCGTTCTCTCACCTGAACAGGTGAGCTGCGAGGAATGTTTGCAGAGGACTGTTTCCTCTGAGTAAACAAGGTGTGGTTACCTGAGACCATGTGACCTGCTCAGGTACCTCACCCCCGTCTGTGAGCTCTTAGTGGACAGCTGCAGTTTTATTCCTTACAAGGCAGTTAATTGTTGTTTCTCTTGGACCTTTCATTACCCACAATCCTTTGCTCATGTTTGTAAGATGCAGCTCAAACAAGATGAAGGTCAGTGATGCTCGTCTTCCTTCCCTCCGCTTCATGCTTTTATTTTTGTCCTCAGTCTTTTTGTGCAGTTTGAGTCCTTTCTGTCCTCACAGTGTCCCTGATGTCCCGACAGGTGTCCTGCTGGGGTTGAACACCTGTAATCAACCGGCACACGCCTGCCAGGATAAAGATAACTGCAGCATTTGTTGCTGGTTATCTTAAATCCGACTCTTTTAGGATCTAAACCTGAGCTGTATCTCCTCTTTTTGTTAAACAAAGTGTTTTAATATAATAGTTTGTAACTATTTTTATCTTGGTAAATAATTTTACAATAAATCTTGTTGTTCAGCATCAAAGTGCAGCTGAATTTCAGCTCATTCTGTGTTTAGACTTTGTTTTGTTTGAGCTGTTTTTGTTGAAACTTCTGTAAATCTTCCTCCTGTCTGAGTCAAACATCAACCGTCTGTATTTTGTGTCTCAGGTGGACTTTCAGTGTCTCTGCTGCTCAGATATTTGTCCAAACCCTCAGAGGACTGGGGTATGTTCTACCTATAACCACCAGTGGCCTCTTTGATCGGACCTCTGTGTGCACGCATTAATCCAATCAGACCAATCAATATGCAGCGATCAGCTTGATTTATGTTGATTAACTGAGTTGGGCCTTGTTTCAGGGATGTGATGGGTCGACTGGTGGAGCCGTGTTTGTCCACCAAGTCAAACATTCCTTAAAAGATGGATCTGACCTGCAGATGTTTCTCTGAGCGATTCTTTGCTTGAATGAAGCTCGGCTTTGATGATGTCATCAAACAAAACAATATTTAATAAACTTCTTGCAGTCATCTTACTTCCTTTTTGCTCAAGCTTGAGGCAAAAGATTCAGGAACAAATACATTTTTTATTGGATCTGAGGGAAAACAGACAAATTATTTAATTATTGATGTAATGTTTTTTGTGACTGGACTTTTAGTGTGAAAGCCGCCCTCTGTTAGACAGTAGAAAAAGCTCACTCTTATTGTGATAGGGCTTGAAGCTTCCTGTTGTTCTTTGGTTGTAATTCACAGTTTGTCTGGACAGGGGGCAGTGTTGGTTCTCTGACATCAGTAAGGAGTTGTTTCTCTGTCCCCCGCTCAGAATCCCCCCGCCTGTCCAACGCCTCCATCTGCAGCGATGAGCATGCTCCATCAGCCGCGCCCTCCGACTCCTCTGACCTGCCGCCGTTGGGCCGGCGCCCCGAGAGTCTGATCTCCACCCAGTCCTCAGGTTACGGATCCTCCAGAGACGACTACATCGCGCCGCCTCAGCTCCCCGCAGGGTCCTCCAGTGTGGACCTAAACCAGAACCTGAGCCCTGCAGTAGACGCCGCTGACCCTGAGGGGTCAAGCCCCCGGTCCCCGACGAAGTGTCGGAGCTTCGTTCACAATAAAAACAACAACAATAAAGGGTGGACGCCAAATCGGGCATCGAGTCGCCGGCAGCAGGGATCGCCTTTCATTAGTGCCAGCATGGCACCCAACCCCAAGCTGACCTACCTGGACCGCGTTGTCATGGAGATCATCGAGACAGAAAGGATGTACGTCAGAGACCTGCGTATGATTGTAGAGGTAAGTCGAGGAACGACTCTGTACATTTAAAGTTACGCAACATGTGCTAAAGAAGATGCTCAGAGGACAGGAGATGTTGTTCCGAGGACTTTGGACCCAGGTTCTGGGTCAGGACACAAAGAACACAGGTGAAAGAAGGCGGGACAGGGGACAGAAGAAGGACAGCCTCTCCCCTTAGAGGAAGGAACCTGGCAGAACTTTGTCGTCACAAGCTATAATTAAGACGTTAAGACGGATTAACTGATTATGTAACAGTCAGGAGCACAGAGAAACCTGGACCCAACAAATGTACCTGAATCAAGACCAGAGACCTGAGCTCAACAAATATATCTGAACCAAGACCAGAGACCTGAACTCAACAAA